AGAAAAAAAAAAATACAACTGAAAGGGGGGCGAAGGGGGAGGGAGTGAAACTGCGGGCGGGGTTTGGACTGTGGGTAGAGGGGGGGGAAAGACAGGATGAGGATGATTGGTTGGGGTTTAGGATGAGCAAAAGGATTAGTTCCCTTTCAATTTCCCCACTTGAGCAAAGGGGGGAAAACAAAGGGGAAAAGATAAATAGATTTAAGCAGATTTTTTTTTACTACAGTATTCACCCGTGACTGTGGGCAGCGCGGCCCCCTTTCCCCCCGGGGACTGCGATTTGCTCATGAGGGGCCAGCGGGGTCGGGAGCCCACCCAGGAGAGACTCCACCATCATCTCTCCTCCTCCTCACCGGGGTCCTGTATAAATAAATAGAAATACATTAAAATCGGTCCCCTTTCTCAGGGAAGACTCCTAGACACCACCTGAAACATAAGTGGAAACTTTTGCCGAGAACTGGTCCAAAACCCAAGGACCCCCCCTGCCCAAAAACCAACAAGAGCTAGGGCAGCCTCATCTGACCATGCCCCGCAAAAAGAAAGTAACAATATAAAAATTACGAGAGCGGGATTGCTTGACAATTTGGGAAAAATCCATGTCATCCACAAGGGGGGCCCGCCCAAAGTCAGTTTAATAATAAGTGGGGAGAACAAGTTTTTGATCCCTGCCGTTTTTGCGGTTTTTTCCACTAAAAAGATGTAGAGGTCGTAATTTTTATAGGGTACCTTCAACTTGGGAGGGAAATCTAAAACAAAAATCCAGAAAATCACATTGTATATTTTTAAGAAATTTAAATTGCATTTCTTGCATGACATAAATTTGATCCCCTACCAACCAAAAAATTTGGCCTCCAACCTTTATTTTTCTTTAAGAAGCCCCCTGTTCTACACTCTTTACCGTATAACTCCCCTTTTTTGAACTCTTTTCCCTGTAAAAACACCTTCCAAAAACCCAATAAAACGACCAACCCTCCACAAGGGCCAAGCCCAGAAGCTGTGTAAGGACTCAGGGAAAAAATTTGTAGCCCCTGCACAAGGCTGGGTGGGCACAACAATTGCAACAGCTTTGTGAAAAGGGCAAAAAATTGGCGAAATTATTAAAAAAAGGAGAATTTAAGATGTGGCCCAATCCCCTGTCTGGGTTCATGCAGATCTCCCTTTTGGGGCATAAATGATCTGAAAAGGTGAGGGCACCCAAAACTACGCAGACCGGGTAAAATGACCTGAAGAGGCTGGGCCCACTCTAAAAGGAAACCATTAGAAACACACCGCCGTCAGGTTTAAAAATCCGCCCAAAGGGGGGGCCCCTGCTCAACCACGCAGGTCAAGGCCCTAAAGTTTGCCAAGACCATCTGGATATCCAGAGGGAGGAAGGGAAAAGGGTCATGGGGTCTGATAGAAAAAAATTAGTTTTTTGGGTCAAAACCCCCACTCGCCGTGTTTGGAGGAAGAAAAGGATGAGTACAAACCCAAAAACACCTCCCAAACCCTAAGCATGGGGGGAAACTTAATTCTTTGGGGAGGGTTTCTGCAAAGGGGACCAAAAAAAAGTATTGAGGGGAGGATGTGGGGCCCGTATCGCAATTTGGCCCAAAAACCTCCTTCCCTCAGTAGAGCATTGAAGAGGGGCTCGCTGGGTTTTTTCCCGCATGACAACGACCTGAAAACCACGCCAGGGCAACTAAGGAGGGGTCCGAAGAAGCATCTCAAGGGGCCGGGAGTGGCCCACCAGTCCCAGACCTGAACCCAAAAAAAAATTTTGGGGGGGCTGAAGTCCCTTCCCAGCGACCGCCCCCAAACCTAAGGTTGGAAAGGGGTGTTGGAGGGGTGGGCCCAAAATCCCTGCTGCAGGGTTTTGCAAACCTGGTCAAACCTAAGGAAAAATAGATTTGTAATTGCAAAAAAAGGTTTCGTACCAAAAATTAAATTTTTGCTTTTCTGATGTATCCAAAAATTTTTCATGCAATAAAGCAAATTAATTTTTTAAAAAACATCAATTGGGGTTTTCTGGGTTTTTTTTTAAATTTCAGAAACCCCTCATTTTGAGTAGGAAAACCGTAAAAACGGGGAGGACAAAACTTTTTCCCCCACGTTTATATCAATAGAAAACCATACACAAAGATGGCAGCGTTAATTCTACTTGTGCGTTTAAAGGTACGATAGATTTTTCCAGAGAGCGGTCTTGATGATGGAGAAGATTTTAAACAATTCAAAATTTTATTTTTACATGTGCCGAATACAAAAAGGTATTCACCTTTCGTGAAATGTTACTTAAAACCCTTTAAACCCAAAATTGAGTTTTTAGAAAATACCAAACAAATCCCACAAAAAAAACAATAAAAAAAAATAAAAGAACAAAAATTAAAAACAGCAGAAAAAAAAATAACAATCGAGGCATATCCGGGGGCACCGGTACCCATCAATGTGTATCGCTACAATTTCCAGAGAGCGGGCTTGATGATGGGATAAACAGTATTACCGAGGCCCCTTTTGAGATGGAGATAACACAGAGTTTCCAGAGACCGGTTGAGATGGAGATGACTACATATTACCAGAGACCGGGCTTGATAGGAGATAGAACGAGTTTTCCAAGAGCCGTCTTGGATGGGGATGACTACAGTATTTCCAAGACCGGGCTGATGATGGAGATAGTACAGTAGTTTCCAAGGCCCCCCTTGATGATGGAGATGACCAAAGTTTACCAGAAGCCGGTCTTGATTATGGAGATAGACTACAGTAGTTTACCAGAGAGCCGGTCTTTTGTGGGGAAAGACTAAGTAGTTTACCCGAAGCCCGGCTTGATATGGGGAAAATTGCTGAGATGCCAAAAAGATGAGGGATTTTTTTGCTGTCTAGGGGAGGGGATGTGGAGGCCCCAAAAGGGCAAGGGAATAAAAAAGGGTCTAAGGGGAAAATCGGGGAAAAGGAAAAAGGGGAAAAAAACAGAGAGAAAAAAGAAGAGAGAAGAGAGAGAGAGAAGGGGAGGGAAAAAGGGGGGGGAAAAAAAAGGAACGGGGGGAGAAGAGAGAGAAAAAATCAAAAAAAAGGAGAGAGAGGAGAAATAGGAGAAAGAAGAAAAGAGAGAAAAAGAAGGAGAGAAAAAGGGGGGTACGAAGAGAGAGAGGGGAACCCCCCCCCCCCCCCCCTTTTTTTTCCCCCCGGGGGGGCCCCTTTTTTCCCCCCCCCCCCCCCGGGGGGGGGGGGGGGGTTTTTTTTTTTGGGGGGGTTTCCCCCCCCCTTTTTTTTTTTTTTTTTTTTTTTTTTTTCCCCCCCCCCCCCCTTCCCCCCCCCCATTTTTTCCCCCCCCCCCCCCCCCCCTTTCCCCCCCCGGGGGGGGTTTTCCCGGGTCCCCCCCCCCGGGGGGGGGGGGGAAAATTTTTCCCCCCCCCCCCCCTTTTTTTTTCCCCCACCCCATATGGAATTTAGCCCCCCAAAATTTTTAATTTTTTTTGGGACGGCCCCCCAAAAACCCCCAAAAACCTGAACCCCTTTTAAAGCCCCGTGCAAAATTTCCCTCCTTTTTAATAGGGGAAAGGGAAAGAGGGGCTGCGACGGTCGAGGATGGACTTTTTTGCCCGTCCTGACGCCCTGTGTACAGTGCTGGGCATGCTGCCCAGTGTGCCCCGCACAAACTCTGCCACCTCCTGAACTGTAAACATCTGAAGCAGCTCGTCAAAGATGGCCGGGAACGAGTTCAGCAGTGCTGCCTGGGGGTGGGGGAGAGATGGAGGGAGGGTGAGAGAGGGGAGGAGAGATGGGGAGGGGAGAGAGTGACCAGCTCCATACTCCACACTGGACTGACGGCTCAGAAGTGTGGTGTGGGTGATTTGACTGTCAGGCCTATGAAGGAAGTACAGATGTCGGATCTTAATATGACCCATTTAGTCGAAGGAGGAAAATAATCCTGCACCAGCAGGATTTTAATGGATATTTAATATTTAGAATTGCCGACAGTGGGCAGCTGGAATTGATAAGATGGCGGCGCTGAGGAGGGCGAACGTCTTGCCGGTTCCTGCTCGAGTTTGCTTTTTTATGGCTATTTTTACTTTCTTCTGGATCATGAATGAGAAGCTACACACTTATCTACTAACTTTAAGCATCAGTTGTCAGAGCACCTTACCGATCACTGCACCTGTACACAGCCCATCTGAAATTAGCCCACCCAACTACCTCATCCCTATATTGTTATTTATTTTGCTCTTTTGCACCCCAGTATCTCTATTTGCACATAATCTCTTGCACATCTATCATTCCAGTGTTAATACTAATTGTAATTATTTTGCACTATAGCCTATTTATTGCCTTACCTCCATAACTTGCTACATTTGCACACACTGTATATATATTTTCTGTTGTATTTTTGACTTTATGTTTTTTTTTACCCCATATGTAACTCTGTGTTGTTGTTTTTATCGCACTGCTTTGCTTTATCTTGGCCAGGTCGCAGTTGTAAATGAGAACTTGTTCTCAACTGGCTTCTTACCCGGTTAAATAAAGGGGAAATAAAATTTAAAAAATTAAAAAAATCTCTCAGATCAAGAATACTATATTAGCTCATTTGTTCCCTGTTGCTCCAGGCCAAGATGACCTAAGGCAAGAAGAGTAAGGAAAGGGAGACTCCAGGCTAGGCTGAAAAGACGGGCTACACAGCCTCCTCTTCCAAGTATCCTGATGGCTAATGTCCAATCGCTGGACAACCCTAAACATCAACTACATCTCGTAATGAATAATGTGGAAATTGAGCAAGTTGAGGTGACTAAACTGCTTGGAGTAACCCTGGATTGTAGACTGTCATGGTCAAAGCATATTGATACAACAGCAGCTAAGATGGGGAGAAGTATGTCCATAATTAAGTGCTGCTCTGCCTTCTTAACAACACTATCAACAAGGCAGGTCCTACAGGCCCTAGTTTTGTCGCACCTAGACTACTGTTCAGTAGTGTGGTCAGGTGCCATAAAGAGGGACTTGGGAAAATTGCAGTTGGCTCAGAACAAGGCAGCACGGCTGGCCCTTAAAAGTACACGGAGAGCTAACATTAATGACATGAATGTCAGTCTCTCCTGGCTCAGAGTGGAAGAGAGATTGACTTCATCACTGCTTGTTTTTGTGAGAGGTGTCAACGAGCTGAATGTACCGAGCTGTCTGTTTGGAACACTGGCACACAGCTCGGACACCCATGCATACCCCACAAGACATGCCACCAGAGGTCTCTTCACAGTCCCCAAGTCCAGAACGGACTATGAGAGGCGCACAGTAATACATAGAGCCATGACTACATGGAACTCTATTCCACATCAGGTAACTGATGCAAGCAGTAGAATCAGATTTTAAAAAACTGGTAAAAATACACCTTGTGGAACAGCGGGGACTGTGAAGAGACACACACACACAGGCACATACACACATACATATAGACACTCACTCTACACACACGTACACATGGATGTTGTATTGTAAATATGTGATAGTGGAGTAGTGGCCTGAGGGAACACACTAAATGTATTGGGTAAAGTGTTATGAAATAATGTCATGTAATATTTATCTGAAGGATATCCTACAGAAACCCGACAAGGCCCAAATCCCCGTCATTCGCATGAGGAAGAGACTGAGATATCGTGGACATAGGTCGGGGTGCCTTGTAAGGATCCGACGGCGAGCGAGTAAACTGCCGCTCCCATCAATCCTATTAGCCAATCTTCAATCATTGGAAAATAAATTGGATGACCTAAGATTACGGTTATCCTACCAACGGGACATTCAAAACTGTAATATCTTATGTTTCACCGAGTCGTGGCTGAATGACGACATGGATAACATACAGCTAGGAGTACACCACATCAGTTACTGGCTTCATCAATAAGTGCATCGATGATGTCGTCCCCACAGTGACCGTACGTACATACCCCAACCAGAAGCCATGGATTACAGGAAACATCCGCAATGAGCTAAAGGGTAGAGCTGCTGCTTTCAAGGAGCGGGACTCTAACCTGGACGCTTATAAGAAATCCCGCTATGCCCTCCGACGAACCATCAAACAGGCAAAGAGTCAATACAGGACTAAGATTGAATCGTACTACACCGGCTCTGACGCTTGTCGGATGTGGCAGGGCTTGAAAACTATTACAGACTACAAAAGGGAAGCACAGCCGCGAGCTTCCCAGTGACACAAGCCTACCAGACGAGCTAAACCACTTCTATGCTTGCTTCGAGGCAAGCAACACTGAAGCATGCATGAGAGCACCAGCTGTTCCGGATTACTATGTGATCACGCTCTCCGTAGCCGATGTGAGTAAGACTTTTAAGCAGGTCAACATTCACAAGGCCGCAGGGCCAGACGGATTACCAGGATGTGTACTCCGAGCATGTGCTGACCAACTGGCAAGTGTCTTCACTGACATTTTCAACATGTCCCTGACTGAGTCTGTAATACCAACATGTTTCAAGCAGACCACCATAGTCCCCGTGCCCAAGGACACTAAGATAACCTGCCTAAATGACTACCGACCCGTAGCATTGACGTCTGTAGCCATGAAGTGCTTTGAAAGGCTGGTCATGGCTCACATCAACACCATTATCCCAGAAATCCTAGACCCACTCCAATTTGCATACCGCTCCAACAGATCCACAGATGATGCAATCTCTATTGCACTCCATACTGCCCTTTCCCACCTGGACAAGAGGAACATTGACTACAGCTCAGCATTCAACACCATAGTGCCCTCAAAGCTCATCACTAAGCTAAGGATCCTGGGACTAAACACCTTCCTCTGCAACTGGATCCTGTACTTCCTGACGGGCCGCCCCCAGGTGGTAAGGGTAGGTAGCAACACATCTGCCACACTGATCCTCAACACGGGGGCCCCTCAGGGGTGCGTGCTCAATCCCTTCCTGTACTCCCTGTTCACCCATGACTGCATGGCCAGGCACAACTCCAACACCATCATTAAGTTTGCCGACGACACAACAGTGGTAGGCCTGATCACCGACAACGATGAGACAGCCTATAGGGAGGAGGTCAGAGACCTGGCCGTGTGGTGCCAGGATAACAACCTCTCCCTCAACGTGACCAAGACAAAGGAGATGATTGTGGACTACAGGAAAAAAAAGAGGACTGAGCACGCCCCCATTCTCATCGACGGGGCTGTAGTGGAACAGGTTGAGAGCTTCAAGTTCCTTGGTGTAAACATCACCAACGAACTATCATGGTCCAAACACACCAAGACAGTCGTGAAGAGGGCACGACAAAGCCTATTCCCCCTCAGGAGACTGAAAAGATTCGGCATGGGTCCTCAGATCCTCAAAAAATTATACATTTGCACCATCGAGAGCATCCTGACTGGTTGCATCACCCCCTGGTATGGCAACTGCTTGGCCTCCGACCGCAAGGCACTACAGAGGGTAGTGCGTACGGCCCAGTACATCACTGGGGCCAAGCTTCCTGCCATCCAGGACCTCTATACCAGGCGGTGGCAGAGGAAGGCCCTCAAAATTGTCAAAGACTCCAGCCACCCTAGTCATAGACTGTTCTCTCTGCTTCCGCACGGCAAGCGGTACCGGAGTGCCAAGTCTAGGTCCAAAAGACTTCTCAACAGCTTCTACCCCCAAGCCATAAGACTCCTGAACAGCTAATCATGGCTACCCGGACTATTTGCACTGCCCCCCCACCCCATATTTTTACGCTGCTGCTACTCTGTTAATTATTTATGCATAGTCACTTTAACTCTACCCACATGTACATATTACTTCAACTACCTCAACTAGCCGGTGCCCCCGCACATTGACTCTGCACCGGTACCCCCCTGTATACAGTGGGGAAAAAAGTATTTAGTCAGCCACCAATTGTGCAAGTTCTCCCACTTAAAAAGATGAGAGAGGCCTGTAATTTTCATCATAGGTACACGTCAACTATGACAGACAAAATGAGAGAAAAAAAATCCAGAAAATCACATTGTAGGATTTTTAATGAATTTATTTGCAAATTATGGTGGAAAATAAGTATTTGGTAAATAACAAAAGTTTCTCAATACTTTGTTATATACCCTTTGTTGGCAATGACACAGGTCAAACGTTTTCTGTAAGTCTTCACAAGGTTTTCACACACTGTTGCTGGTATTTTGGCCCATTCCTCCATGCAGATCTCCTCTAGAGCAGTGATGTTTTGGGGCTGTCGCTGGGCAACACGGACTTTCAACTCCCTCCAAAGATTTTCTATGGGGTTGAGATCTGGAGACTGGCTAGGCCACTCCAGGACCTTGAAATGCTTCTTACGAAGCCACTCCTTCGTTGCCCGGGCGGTGTGTTTGGGATCATTGTCATGCTGAAAGACCCAGCCACGTTTCATCTTCAATGCCCTTGCTGATGGAAGGAGGTTTTCACTCAAAATCTCACGATACATGGCCCCATTCATTATTTCCTTTACACGGATCAGTTTCCACCCCCATGCTTCACAGTAGGTATGGTGTTCTTTGGATGCAACTCAGCATTCTTTGTCCTCCAAACACGACGAGTTGAGTTTTTACCAAAAAGTTCTATTTTGGTTTCATCTGACCATATGACATTCTCCCAATCCTCTTCTTGATCATCCAAATGCACTCTAGCAAACTTCAGACGGGTCTGAACATGTACTGGCTTAAGCAGGGGGACACGTCTGGCACTGCAGGATTTGAGTCCCTGGCGGCGTAGTGTGTTACTGATGGTAGGCTTTGTTACTTTGGTCCCAGCTCTCTGCAGGTCATTCACTAGGTCCCCCTGTGTGGTTCTGGGATTTTTGCTCACCGTTCTTGTGATCATTTTGACCCCACGGGGTGAGATCTTGCGTGGAGCCCCAGATCGAGGGAGATTATCAGTGGTCTTGTATGTCTTCCATTTCCTAATAATTGCTCCCACAATTGATTTCTTCAAACCAAGCTGCTTACTTATTGCAGATTCAGTCTTCCCAGCCTGGTGCAGGTCTACAATTTTGTTTCTGGTGTCCTTTGACAGCTCTTTGGTCTTGGCCATAGTGGAGTTTGGAGTGTGACTGTTTGAGGTTGTGGACAGGTGTCTTTTATACTGATAACAAGTTCAAACAGGTGCCATTAATACAGGTAACGAGTGGAGGACAGAGGAGCCTCTTAAAGAAGAAGTTACAGGTCTGTGAGAGCCAGAAATCTTGCTTGTTTGTAGGTGACCAAATACTTATTTTCCACCATAATTTGCAAATAAATTCATAAAAAATCCTACAATGTGATTTTCTGGATTTTTTTTCCTCAATTTGTCTGTCATATTTGACGTGTACCTATGATGAAAATTACAGGCCTCTCTCATCTTTTTAAGTGGGAGAACTTGCACAATTGGTGGCTGACTAAATACTTTTTTCCCCCACTGTATATATATATATATGTATATATATATATATATAGATATATATATATATATATATATATATATATATATATATATATATATATATATATATATATATATATATATATATATATATTATAATACAATAAAAAAGTGTACTTCTTCACTCCTGAGGATATTTTTGTAGGTTAAGGAAAATGGTTAGGGTTAGGAAAATGGTTAGGGTTAGGAAATAGTTATTATTATTATTAGTATATTTTGTATTTTATTTTTTTCATGATATCCAATTGGTAGTTACAGTCTTGTGTGTAGCCTACTAGGAAGATCGTCTGGTATGGTCATTTCTTATCAAGATCGTCTGGTATGGTCATTTCTTATCAAGATCGTCTGGTATGGTCATTTCTTATTAAGATCGGGGTAAAATAACTCTATGTTGAAGGCAGTGGTTCTAACCCTAAGCCACGACTAAACTCAATTTTGACAGTTCATTTGTAACCTTAGGACACACTAGACACTTGTATGTCGCAGCCTAGTGTTATTAAACTGTGTCCAACTAGGGTTGTTGACGTGTATGGCTACACTTCAGACTGCAATAATAGGACCTAGGCCTATAGCATTATTTTAGATAGCGAGCCCTGATCCCGATGACTCCACTGCCCCCGCATGGAGAGAAAGAGAACTGCTCATTTTTTAGCCTCTCACAAAGCTAATTTCAATTTCCTGATGCATCAGGAAAGTTCTGCACAACATAAGAGTAATCAAGTTAAGATCCGACATATGTACCATGTACCTAGGAGCAATGGACTACGAGTTTGAAATTGAGGGATATCCTATCAGAAATGATTAGAGATTCCCCATTCATAGATGGTATTATTGATACTTTAGCTCCTGGGTATCATGGATCACCGATGACCTGACAGTCCTGGGAAAGTAGTGTGGCTCTATCTACAAGCATGGCAGTCATCACACAGAGTCATCACACAGAGTCATCACACAAGGTCATCACACAGAGTCATCACACAGAGTCATCACACAGAGTCATCACACAGAGTCATCACACAGAGTTATTACACAGAGTCACCACACAACACAGATTCAGGTGATTGAGGTGATTGAGGTGATTGAGGTGATTGAGGTGTAGGTAGGTGAATGGTTGGAGAACAGACGTGATGATGAAACAGTTGGAGTTTGGAAAGGTTAATAACAAACCAAACACAAAAACACACAAAGGAAGCAAACCAAATAAATTAGTACGGCTTCATTTCAGCTGTGGGTTGGTCGGTGACTTGGTTGAGGGTCGGTCGAGAGGTAGGTTGTTTATTTCTTGTAGTTTGCAGAAGGGGTGGTGATTTGGGGAGGAGGTAGGTAGATTAGTTGGGAGGTTGAGTTTCTTGCTGTTTGTAAAATGGGTTGATTGTTAATTTAGGAGGAGATAGGTGGATTGATTGAGAAATCATTTGTAAAAGGGGTTGGTTGGTTGGTGATTTGAGAGGTGGTAGGTGGATTTCCCGCTGTTTGTAAAAGGGATTGGTTGGTGGTATGTGAAAGGCTTCATGGCAGAGTGAACTGGCGGAATTGATCAGAGGACACATTTGTCAGAGGACGGCCAATACTGGAAGGGACATAGCTACTTACTGAGACAGGAGAGGGGCGAGGAGCATTGGAGCTCCAGGCCTGAGTACAGCTGATGGGGCCGGGGGGCTGTCCCTGTCCAGAGGCAGGCTGGGGGACCTGAGGGGTCTGACCAGGGGGGGACAGGACAGTCAGGGGACAGGGAGGGTCCCGGAGGAGGGGGACATAAGGAGGAGGTAACATGTACATAAGGAAGTTGCAAAAGTTGGCAAAGGCAGGGGGCAAAGAGGGGCAAATGAAGACAATATAGTGGCACAGGTTAATTAAACTAAGGAACTTAAATAAAGAAAATATAGTGGCACAGGTTAATTAAACCAAGGAACTTAAATAAAGAAAATATAGTGGCACAGGTTAATTAAACTAAGGAACGTAAATTAAACTAAGCAAAACGATAACATTACAAACTATAGATTGTAAAGCGACTGAAATAGCAAAGAGATACTAACTACCGTAGCTAGATTTGAAAATCAACATTTGGCAGCTGCAGAGCTGAAAAGAGAGTAAAGCAATGTAATTGATGTGTTGATGGGATAGATGAGGAGTATGCCAACAACATCACGTCCTCATCGCTAGTCTCTTCACTCCCTGGTGGGAAGAATGAATCAATGGTGAATTGGTTGAAGTCTGGAAGTAGGTGACTAAAAAGTCAGTCATCCTCTACACAGCCTTTAAAAGAGATTAAAGACAGAGTTACACACATACAGTGTCTAAGATATCTTGATGTCCGGATAGAAGATCAGTCCTGAAAACTGCACAATGGTGAGAGTCTAATCAACATTGACTCCCCGCTAGGCTCCCGAGTGGCGCAGCGGTCTAAGGCACTGCATCTCAGTGCTTGAGGCGTCACTACAGACCCCCTGGTTTGATTCCAGGCTGTATCACAACCGGCCGATAGGGCGGCGCACAATTGACCCTGTGTCGTCTGGGTTTGGCTGGTGTAGGTCGTCATTGTAAATAAGAATTTGTTCTTAACTGACTTGCCTGGTAAAATCAAAAAATATAAATAGGCTACTGCTAGGCTAGTTTACTATTAGGCTAGGCTACTGCTAAGCTAGGCTACTGCTAAGCTAGGCTACTATTAGGCTAGGCTACTGCTAAGCTAGGCTACTATTAGGCTAGGCTACTATTAGGCTAGGCTACTGCTAAGCTAGGCTACTATTAGGCTAGGCTACTGCTAAGCTAGGCTATTATTAGGCTAGGCTACTCTATGTTTATGCTTGGGTGTAGTTTATGTAGGGAGGACTCTAACCTATGTGAAGATGAGTGTCTCTGAGTTGTGGCTGTCCAGACTCAACACAAAGCACTGTGTGCGTGTGTGCATGTGTGCGTGTGTGTGTGTGTGTGTGTGTGTGTGCGTGTGTGTGCGTGTGTGCGTGTGTGCGTGTGTGCGTGTGTGTGCATGTGTGCGTGTGCGTATGTGTGTGGATTTCTAACCTGTGTGAAGATGAGTGTCTCAGAGCTTCGGCTGTCCAGACTGAGGACAAAGCGGATGGACTGGAAGAGCTCTTGGATGCTTGCCCTGAACTGTTCTTCCTCCATACCACAGGTAGCACGGGAGTACAGGATCCGAGACTGGATGATGAACTTCAACAGATACTCCAGAGCCTGGGGTGGGGGGGGGAGATAACGATATAGAAATGTTAGTCTAACATTGCCACACTTTCCAAGTCTTCTTCACTTGTGAAAACTGTAAATCAAGGTTATGTAAACAATGTGTAAAAACATTACTTTCTTAATGTAGGCCTAGAAAACGATTCATTTGATATAGATACGTATTAAAAACCTGCTGGGGTTTCAGTCTACAATGCTTTTTATCAGACATTAAGAGAAGGGGAAACAAGGACATAGGTACCTTTAAAATATGCTTTTTAAATGAATAAAACATTATTCATTTTCAGTCGACCTTGATCAATTTTCAGACATAAAGGATTGAGGAGGGCCATCCCAGAGACAGACAGACAGACCCATGGGACATGGATGTAACCAGACATGCTTTCTAAGAACAGTATGGTGGTGCAGACTGTCATCCAATTTTTTTAATAATGTGGATACAATCTATTATTTACAGGGACCCCCTTTTATTGCATTGTGGCATATTTTAAATAAAGCAATGAGTAAGCTTTATTCATATTTTATTCAACTAACTCACTGAGTAGTCTCCTAAACACATTCAATTGAAACTGTACTGTACTGGTATTGCAAATGTAATGATTGTTTTCTGATCAGCTTTTTTTCTGACCAGGAAAAATTTTTTGATCCTTGTAATTTATAAAACATGGGCCAAGGGTTTTTTTTGGTCAGGTCACAGGTCAAGGACATTTCCAGCACCCCCCAAACTGAAAATCAAATCAAATCAAATTGGTCACATACACGTGTTTAGCAGATGTTATTGCGGGTGTAGCGAAATGCTTGTGCTTCTAGCTCCGACAGTGCAGTAATATCTAACAAGTAATATCTAACAATTTCACAACATATACCCAGTACACACAAATCTAAGTAAAGCAAACGGAATTAAGAATATATAAATAAATATATGGACGAGCAATGTCAGAGCGGCGTAGACTAAGATACAGTAGAATAGTATAGAATACAGAATATACATATGAGATGAGTAATGCAAGATATGTAAACATTATTAAAGTGGCCAGTGATTTCTAATCTATGTTTTGTAGGCAGCAGCCTCTAATGTGGTAGTGAAGGATATTTAACAGTCTGATGGCCTTGAGATAGAAGAACTCAAAACATCGCCCCATGTCTATGGTCACAAGTACAGGAATAACTTCCAGTGGAGCATGTTATCCTACCCTCATGGCCTCCTGGATGTGGTCCTGTTTCACCACCTCTGCAGAACGGTCCATGTACCACTTCAGACAGCGGATCAACTCTCTGGATGGGACACACAACACAGGATTGACCATTAATCACAACATAGGTCAGACACTGGTAGGGTCTTCTTTTAGTATTGATAAGGGTTTCACGTAAATATTTATGTTACTTTTCTTAAGTCTCTCTTAATAGCCATATGTTGAAGCTCTCTGAGAATGGCACATCTACTTTATCTTTAGATCAATGATAAACCACTACATACACATCAAAGGATGAGGAGAAAAACTAAACTTAACTTTGAAGAGAAAAAAACAGCTACAACAAGGGTGTGATCTTGATCAGCAAATAACCAGCTGGGGCTCAGCTGTGACAAGGGTAACCATCTTAACCTCAGCAGCGTCATGTCTTTTGTACGACTGACAGAAACTCACTTGTACGCCAGCGCTCCAGCAAAGTGCTTCTGGATGTAAGTGTCCATGACGGGACGGAAGTGATAGTACTTGCTGTCCCTGAGAAGATTAATGATGAACACCTGAGGAGAGAGAGAGAGAGAGAGAGAGAGAGAGAGAGAGAGAGAGAGAGAGAGAGAGAGAGAGAGAGAGAGAGAGAGAGAGAGAGAGAGAGAGAGAGAGAGAGAGAGAGAGAGAGAGAGAAAACTTCAATGTAAGAGCACTGCTGGGATTGGGGCCAAAAGCTCGTCACACTTCAATTACATATCTATCACCAGATCCAGTCAGTAGCTGAGATGAGGATCCAACATGGCACCCTATTACATTTAAAGTGCGCTACTTTTGACCAGAGCCCATAGGGCATCACAGAAGAGCCATGGTGCATCCAAAATTGCATCCTATTCCCTATATAGAGTACTATTTTCTGGTAAAATGCAGTGCACCATACAGTACAGTGCATTTGGAAAGTATTCAGACCCCTTGACTTTTTCCACATTTTGACCACCTACCATCTCTGTCCGACCACCTATCATCTCTGTCTGACCACCTACCATCTCTGTCCGACCACCTATCATCTCTGTCCGACCACCCATCATCTCTGTCTGACCACCTTTCATCTCTGTCCGACCACCCATCATCTCTGTCCGACCAACCATCATCTCTGTCCGACCACCTATCATCTCTGTCTGACCACGCATCATCTCTGTCTGACCACCTAGCATCTCTGTCTGACCACCCATCATCTCTGCCTGACCACCCATCATCTCTGTCTGACCACCTATCATCTCTGTCTGACCACCCATCATCTCTGTCTGACCACATATCATCTCTGCCTGACCACCCATCATATCTGTCCGACCACCCATCATCTCTGTCTGACCACCTAGCATCTCTGTCTGACCACCCATCATCTCTGCCTGACCACCCATCATCTCTGTCTGACCACCTATCATCTCTGTCTGACCACCTATCATCTCTGTCTGACCACCCATCATCTCTGTCTGACCACCTATCATCTCTGTCCGACCACCTATCATCTCTGTCTGACCACCTATCATCTCTGTCTGACCACCTATCATCTCTGTCTGACCACCCATCATCTCTGTCTGCCCACCCATCATCTCTGTCTGACCACCTATCATCTCTGTCTGACCACCCATCATCTCTGTCTGACCACCTATCATCTCTGTCTGACCACCCATCATCTCTGTCTGACCACCTATCATCTCTCTCTGACCACCCATCATCTCTGTCTGACCACATATCATCTCTGTCTGACCACCCATCATCTCTGTCTGACCACCCATCATCTCTGTCTGACCACCCATCATCTCTGTCTGACCACATATCATCTCTGTCTGACCACCCATCATCTCTGTCCGACCACCCATCATCTCTGTCCGACCACATATCATCTCTGTCTGCCCACCCATCATCTCTCCATCTCCAACACAACAGATAGATACCTCTAGAAGGGAGGCTGGGGTGAGAGGGGAGGGATAAGTCTTTGACTCTGTTGTGAGGACATCTGGGCTAGGCTAAACACTCCCCTGAGATCTGGCCCTGCAGCAGGCAGCTGGCTGGGAGGGAGCTCCTAATAATCACTGGCTCTGGGCCAGCCCAGACAGACTGAGACAGAGTCTGCATCCCAAATTGCACTCTATTCCCTAAATAGTGTACTACTTTTGACAACGCTTCCCTATGTAGGGAGTTGGGTGCCATTTCGGACGCAGACAGTAACACAGACTCACTATCCCTCGTTACTGAGGAGGGGAGATGACAAGCAGACGCTGCATGGAGCACTGCAGCAGGAGATGGATAACTCTGCTGGAGAAACGGGCGTTCAGTGTCATACACACACACACACACACACACATTACACACACACACACACACACACACACACACACACACACACACACACACACACACACACACACACACACACACACACACACACACACAAACAAACAAACAAACAAACAAACAAACAAACAAACAAACAAACAATAGAGCATTTCAGAAGGTTTCTCACCAGTGACTGGAACACCAGAGGTCCATACTTGTCAGTGTTGTCATCCAGAATGGAAAACAGGGTGTCCAAGATGTCTTGGAGGAACTGTCAAATAATGAAGATATGAAGATAAATGTTAAATATATGACCGGCCTTTAAACTCAGAGCGTCTCACCACATTTATTCTGAATGTATATTTGTTTTTCCTATAAAGTGGCTAACCTTGACGATCTCCTCTCCACTGACATGGCGTAGTCGTCCCAGGATGTCCATCACTCTGTCTGGGTGGGCCTTCCACTTCAACAACGCAAGCAGGTCCACTAGGAACAAGATAATGGCAGTGGAATCAAGATCAGGATCAGGATCAAGATCAAAATCAGCTTGGCTGACAAGATGGTGCTATAAGAGTCAAGTAATCTGTGTGAGCTTGGTGGGGAAGGGGAAGAGGAAGAGGAGAGAGGAGGAGAGGAGAGGAGAGGAGAGGAGAGGAGAGGAGAGGAGAGGAGAGGAGAGGAGAGGAGAGGAGAGGAGAGGAGAGGAGAGGAGAGGAGAGGAGAGGAGAGGAGAGGAGAGGAGAGGAGAGGAGAGGAGAGGAGAGGAGAGGAGAGGAGAGGAAAGGACCTACCATTCTGTGTGAGCTTGGTGGAGGAGAGCTGTGTGGAGATCCAGAGGGTCTCCTTGGTGCTGCGTTGGAAGATGAGGCTGGAGGGAATGTTGGGACAGCCATGGAAGTCATCTTTACAGCAGGGCAGACCCAGGTACAACGCATGGTTACTGAACGTAGCGTTCTCATCACACTAGAAAAGAAAGAAAGATGTGAGGTACTGCAGAGTTCAGATGAAGCAGGAGGTGTAGGAGCCGTTTTGGGCTGTTTTTGTGTTGTGTATATGTTGTCTGTCAAGGCTTACTTGTTTTGTTCACTAGAGGGCATTATATGTTGGGGTCGTGGGTCACTGGTCACGCGCGTATATAGATAGCACAGGTGACCAGGAAGGGTTAGCACATACACTTCTTACCATATCACAGATACAGCTTCTAGAATGCATCTCTCTGCACCTTTTGTATTGGAATATGTGTTTTGGAGCTATTTATATATTATATGTGCAATAAATGGGAACTTCACCCAAAAAGAGTAACGTTTGGAAAGCAGATTTCTTTGGACGTGTTATGGACGGCTCTCTCCTGTGCCAGTGGCCTTTCATAGGGAATCGCCACCACAGGAGGAACACAACTTTTTAGAAGACGTAAAGAAGGCTGACCTTGTAGACGGAAAGAAGGCTGACCTTGTAGACGGAAAGAAGGCTGACCTTGTAGACATAAAGAAGGCTGACCTTGTAGACGTAAAGAAGGCTGACCTTGTAGACTTAAAGAAGGCTGACCTTGTAGACGTAAAGAAGGCTGACCTTGTAGACTTAAAGAAGGCTGACCTTGTAGACGTAAAGCTCGTGGCTCTCGTCTGACAGCGTCGTCCCGTCCTCTCTCATCAGTGGTGTGAAGGCAAAGCCAAACAGCTTCTTCTCCGCCTTGTCTTTGGCTGTGGAGAAGAGAGGAAGAACAGAGAGGAAGAACAGAGAGAGAGGAAGAACAGAGAGGAAGAACAGAGAGAGAGGAAGAACAGAGAGGCAATCACTCACTAAGTGTCATATGTACCCCAAATGGCCGGCCCACGGACGAAATAAGTCCTTTTGAAGTTTAACAGCTTCCACTGTATTCAAGAGATGCTGAACATTTTCTCTGTAGCTGGCTTTAGAAAGGTCTAGCAAGCAGGAGATGTCAAATGAGTTGTCTTCAGTATAATTTCTAGAACACAGATGTTTATTTTGCGTAATTTGGTCAGCTGCGTGATTAACTTCTGTGTTCATACGTGTTAGACTAGCGAAGTCTCCACACACGTTACTACATTTATCATTACATTACTGATTATCTCTAGACCAGACCGGTACTTACTGGAGCAGTGTCTGAACTCGAAGCGTAGGTGTGACCCTCTGAAGCGGTCTATGGGAATGGGTAGTTTAACCACCTCGCTCCAGCGGGGGCTGTTGTTGTGGTAGAGGACAAAGGAGCGGTGTTCACTGATGTGGGGCTCACCACTGCCCAGGCTGATACAGTCCTACAGGAAGACACACACAGGTAATTACACACACACCACAATCACAGACACACATGTAAGTAAGCACACACAGTCACCACATATAATCATTTAGATTGTTTTCATACATATTTTTTTACTGAACACTAAAACGCAGGATGTATAGTCTTGATGGCAAATTAAATATAAAAAGAAATGAAACATATGTGTAGGGTCATCTGACATATTACGGTCGTCAGGACATAACACCTACTTTGAGTCTCTCTCCATCTGCGTAAAGCACGTAGACGGTGACCTCAATGTTCTTCTGGACACTCTTGCCCCCCCTCTCAAAGTCTCCTCTCTCCAGGGTGAGGTACAGGTCGTTCCGGATGTCACCTGGGGAGAGAGACAGACACAAACGTCACACAGGCAACAGAAATGGGTAATGAACTCATATTAGTCTTCTTTCTGGCCGCTAGCTGTATTCATATGCCAGGGTTCCTATCCTGTAGGAGAGTTTACACCCAGAGCCCCATCCCTCTCCTTCACCTCCCCGCAAATCATGAACTTTTCCCTGGGTAAACACACAGATAACTGGCCTATCTCCACCAGCCGCTGGATGTGCTGCTAGATGCCTCAACACATGATTGATATTTTCTAAACTGTTGACCTGTTCACGCACACACACACGCATGCACACACACGCACGCACGCACGCACACACACACACACACACACACACACACACACACACACACACACACACACACACACACACACACACACACACACACACACACACACACACACACAGAGCTGTGCAGCTCCTTCCTACCCCAGAGTATTGACCAGTGCTGTCTGGTAAGCTCACATTTCTCATTTTGTCTTGGTTTTAGCTGAAGATATTTCAGACCAAACGTACGTTTGAGATGAATGTTAAAAGCTCAATCCATCATCGTCTATGGCTGTATAATATGATTTATGCCTAAGAAGTTATGGATACTACTAACATGCATATATTAAGAGAAGAACTCTCCCAAAACTCCGTGTTTTAGCAGAGGCAGAGAATATATCAGTTAATTTGATTTGAATATTCTGTTTCAAGAAGCCTTTCTTCCTAAGAACTCAGTGAGTTTCCTGCTGTTCTGCACGGTACTAACCATGAATATTGAAAAGCTTGGAAGTGGGAACAATGAACAACTATTGTCTGTAAGAGTAACAGTGTGTCTTGACTTGTGGGTTTATATCACAGACATACATTACTCAAGTACAGTGCCTTGCAAAAGTATTCATCCCGCTTGGCATTTTTCCTATTTTGTTGCATTACAAGCTGTAATTTAAATTGATTTTTATTTGGATTTCATGTCATGGACATACACAAAATAGTCCAAATTGGTGAAGTGAAATGAAAAAAATCACTTATTTCAAAAAAATTCTAAAAAATAAACAATGGAAAAGTGGTGCATGCATATGTATTCACCCCCTTTGCTATGAAGCCCCTAAATAAGATCTGGTGCAACCACTTACCTTCAGAAGTCACATAATTAGTTAAATAAAGTACACCTGTGTGCAATCTAAGTGTCACATGATCTGTCACATGATCTCAGTATATATACACCCGTTCTGAAAGGCCCCAGAGTCTGCAACACCAATAAGCAAGGGGCACCACCAAGAAAGCGGCACCATGAAGACCAAGGAGCTCTCCAAACAGGTCAGGGACAAAGTTGTGGAGAAGTACAGATCAGGGTTGGGTTTTTAAAAAAATATCAGAAACTTTGAACATCCCACAGAGAACCATTAAATCCATTATTAAAAAATTGAAAGAATATGGCACCACAACAAACCTGCCAAGAGAGGGCCGCCCACCAAAACCCAACGGTCCAGTCAAGGAGGGCATTAATCAGAGAGGCAACAAAGAGACCAAAGATAACCCTGAAGGAGCTGCAAAGCTCCACAGCGGAGATTGGAGTATCTGTCCATAGGACCACTTTAAGCCGTACACTCCACAGAGCTGGGCTTTACGGAAGAGTGGCCAGAAAAAAGTATTTGCTTAAAGATTTAAAAAATAACCAATCACGTTTGGTGTTCGCCAAAAGCCATGTGGGAGACTCCCCAAACATATGGAAGAATGTACTCTGGTCAAATGAGACTAAAATTGAGCTTTTTGGCCATCAAGGAAAACGCTATGTCTGGCGCAAACCCAACACCTCTCATCACCCCGAGAACACCATCCCAACAGTGAAGCATGGTGGTGGCAGCATCATGCTGTGGGGATGTTTTTCATCGGCAGGGACTGGGAAACTGGTCAGAATTGAAGGAATGATGGATGGCACTAAATACAGGGAAATTCTTGAGGGAAACCTGTTTCAGTCTTCCAGAGATTTGAGACTGGGACGGAGGTTCACCTTCCAGCAGGACAATGACCCTAAGCATACTGCTAAAGCAACACTCGAGTGGTTTAAGGGGAAACATTTAAATGTCTTGAAATGGCCTAGTCAAAGCCCAGACCTCAATCCAATTGAGAATCTGTGATATGACTTAAAGATTGCTGTACACCAGCAGAACCCATCCAACTTGAAGGAGCTGGAGCAGTTTTGCCTTGAAGAATGGGCAAGAATCCCAGTGGCTAGATGTGCCAAACTTATAGAGACATACCCCAAGAGATTTGGAGCTGTAATTGCTGCAAAGGTGGCTCTACAAAGTATTGACTTTGGGGGGGGTGAATAGTTATGCACGCTCAAGTCTTATTTCTTATTTGTTTCACAAGGAAAAATATTTTGCATCTTCAAAGTGGAAGGCATGTTGTGTAAATCAAATTATACAAACCCCCCCAAAATCCATTTGAATTCCAGGTTGTAAGGCAACAAAATAGGAAAAATGCCAAGGGGGCACTTTCGCAAGCCACTGTATTCTCAAGTATCAAACGTGACAGGAAAACACTTTTAGATTATTTGCTGAGGTATTAAAGAAGTGAAAGACATATTAGTAAAGTTTAACTACATTAATATTACTACAGTTTGATTGGGAAAGGGGGTACCTAGTCAGTTGCACTGTATAAAATCGAGCACACAGCCATGCAATCTCCATAGACAAACATTGGCAGTAGAATGGCCTTACTGAAGAGCTCAGTGACTTTCAACGTGACGCCGTCACAGGATGCCACCTTTCCAACAAGTCAGTTTGTCAAATTTCTGCCCTGCTAGAGCTGCCCAGGTCAACTGTAAGTGGAAACGTCTAGGAGCAACAATGGCTCAGTCGCGAAGTGGTAGGCCACACAAGCTCACAGAACGGGACCACCGAGTGCTGAAGCACGTAAAAATCATCTGTTCTCGGTTGCAACACTCACTATCGAGTTCCAAACTGCCTCTGGAAGCAACTTTGGCTTGCAAGCTACCCCCTTTTTCCTCCAAACATAACGATGGTCATTATGGGCAAACAGTTCTATTTTTGTTTCATCAGACCAGAGGACATTTCTCCAAAAAGTACGATCTTTGTCCCCATGTGCAGTTGCAAACCGTAGTCTGGCTTTTTTGTGGCGGTTTTGGAGCAGTGGCTTCTTCCTTGCTGAGCGGCCTTTCAGTTTATATCGATATAGGACTCGTTTTACTGTGGATATAAATACTTTTGTACCTGTTTCCTCCAGCATCTTCACAAGGTCTTTTGCTGGGATTGATTTGCACTTTTCGCACCAAAGTACGTTCATCTCCAGGAGACAGAACACGTCTCCTTCCTGAGTGGTATGACGGCTGCGTGGTCCCATGGTGTTTATACTTGCGTACTATTGTTTGTACAGATAAATGTGGTACCTTCAGGCGTTTGGAAATTGCTCCCAAGGATGAAACAGACATGTGGAGTTTTTTTTTTTGATGTCTTGGCTGATTTCTTTTGATTTTCCCATGATGTCAAGCAAAGAGGCACTGAGTTTGAAGGTAGGCCTTGAAATACATCCACAGGTACACCTCCAATTGACTCAAATGATGTCAATTAGCCTATCAGAATCTTCTAAAGCCACATTTTCTGGAATTTTCCAAGCTGTTTAAAGGCACAATCAACTTAGTGTATGTAAACTTCTGACCCACTGGAATTGTGACAGTGAATTATAAGTGAAATAATCTATCTGTAAACAATTGTTCGAAAAATGACTTGTGTCATGCACAAAGTAGATGTCCTAACCGACTTGCCAAAACTATACTTTGTTAACAAGAAATTTGTGGAGTGGTTGAAAAACGTGTTTTTATAACTCCAACCTAAGTGTATGTAAACTTCCGACTTCAACTGTAAGCCTAACATCACCATGTGCAATGCCAAGCGTCAGCTGGAGTGGTGTAAAGCTCACCGCCATTGGACTCTGGAGCAGTGGAAACGCGTTCTCTGGAGTGACGAATCACGCGTCACCATCTGGCAGTCTGACGGATGAAGCAAGGTCACAAAGCGAGGTCCATACAGAAATGGTTTGTCGAGATCGGTGTGGAAGAACTTGACTGGCCTGCACAGAGCCCTGACCTCAACCGCATCGAACACCTTTGGAATGAATTGGAACGCCGACTGCGAGACAGGCCTAATCGCCCAGCATCAGTGCTTGACCTCACTAATGCTCTTGTGGCTTAATGGGAGCAAGTCCCCGCGGCAATGTTCCAACATCTAGTGGTAAGCCTTCCCAGAAGAGTGGAGGCTGTTAAAGCAGCAAAGGGGGGGACCAACTCCATATTAATGGCCATGATTTTGGAATGAGATGTTTGACGAGCATACTTTTGGTAATGTAGTGTATCTTGTAAGCATTTGTATCGATCTTGTGTGAATGTTGCTGTTTATATTTACTATAGAACTGTATCTTTGTAAGCTGTTTATACTGCATATTTACTATAGAACTGCATCTTGTCCGACTTGCCACAACTGAAGTTCCTTCTGGATAAATAAAGTAATTCTATTTCATATCATACCTCAATATTAATGAATACAACAGATGAAGATATCCCAACCTTACATCAGATACAGAGCTTCCATATGGCTGTTTAGTAAAGACCGGAGAATAGGAAGAGAGAGGCCGCAAGATATGAAGGTATTGGGAAAAATGCTTTCTTCGCTATTTTCGGAAACCACATTCCGATGCTATATGAACGTGACGGGCTGAGACAAGCTTTATCCATTTGCCTGCTCCACAGCCAACCAGCCAGCCAGCCATAGATAACACTGTTATCTGGACACAGGCAGTATGAGGGTTTATCCAACAGGGTAGTGTAGTGTTTATAGTGGATATGAAATGGACTACTACTCTCTCTCTCTCTCTCTCTCTCTCTCTCTCTCTCTCTCTCTCTCTCTCTCTCTCTCTCTCTCACTCACAATCCACTTGCAATTGCAAGTGGAAACAGATATGCTATTAATCTCAACAGCCCC